AAAGATTTTGAACGTTTGCCCACTGATGATGATCAGTCTATAATTTTATTGGAAGGTGTATTTTAACAGTGAGAGACAGAATAACAAAAAAATAAAATAAAATTTTTTCCCACTCCTCTTTGCAGATCCTCTCTTAGTCATTAAGGTTTCAAGGATGACATTTGGCAACTCAAACCTTCAGCTCCCTCCACAGATTTTCTATGGGATTAAGATCTGGAGACTGGCTAGGCCACTCCAGGACCTTAATGTGCTTCTTCTTGAGCCACTCCTTTGTTGCCTTGGCTGTATGTTTTGGGACATTGTCATGCTGGAATACCAATTCAAGACCCATTTTCAATGCCCTGGTTGAGGAAAGGAGGTTCTCACCCAAAATTTGACGGAACATGGCCCCGTCCATCGCCCCTTTCATGTGGTGTGGTTGTCCTGTCCCCTTAGCAGAAAAACACCCCAAAGCATAACGTTTTCACCTCCATGTTTGACGGTGGGCATGTTGTTCTTGGGGTCATAGGCAGCATTCCTCCTCCTCCAAACACGGCGAGTTGAGCTAATGCCAAAGAGCTTGATTTAGGTCTCATCTGACAACAACACTTTCACCCAGTTCTCCTCTGACTCATTCTGATGTTCATTGGCAAACTTCAGACGGGCCTCTACATGTGCTTTCTTGAGCAGGGGGACCTTGCGGGCGCTGCAGGATTTCAGTCCTTCATGGCGTAGTGTGTTACCAATTGTTTTCTTGGAGACTATGGTCCCAGCTGCTTTGAGCCTCCCGTGTAGTTCTGGGCTGATTCCTCACCGTTCTCATGATTATTAAATCTCAACGAGGTGAGATCTTGCATGGAGCACCAGACAGAGGGAGACTGACAGATATTTTGTGTTCTTCCATTTGCAAATAACCGCACAAACTGTTGTCACCTTCTCACCAAACTGCTTGGTGATTGTCTTGTAGCCCATTCCAGCCTTGTGTAGGTCTACAATCATGTCCCTGACATCCTTGCACATCTTTTTGGTCTTGGCCATGGGGGAGAGTTTGGAATCTGATTGATTGATTGCTTTTGTGGACAGGTGTCTTTTATACAGGCAACGAGCAGAGATTAGGAGCACTCCCTTTAAGACACCTGGGAGCCAGAAATCTTGCTGATTAATAGGGGATCAAATACTTATTTCACTCATTAGCATGCAAATCAATTTATAACTTTTTATGACATGCGTTCTTCTGGATTTTTGATTTGGTTACCCTGTCTCTCACTGTTAAAATACACCTACCATTAAAATTACAGACTGATCATTTCTTTGTCTGTGGGCAAAAGTTCAAAATCAGCAGGGGATCAAATACTTTTTTTTCTCACTGTATCAATGAGGATATCTTTTAGCCTGGATGAAATGGCTTTATTGATTTTCAGAGTGATTGTTACAGGGACAGTATGTCTCATAATGAACCTGACCTGTGAGTTATTACAGATAAAACATATACAATGGAACTGTAATATTTCCTCCTCTCAATCTGACAGTGGGAAAATAGATTAATGGACAATAGACAGTGGATATTCACTGTGGAAAGAATACACCTCAGTATTGCCTTTCTTGAAATTTTACCAAATACCATTATTCTCAAAAGTATATTCAATAATGCGTTAATTGTCAGGAGTTTAAGTTTGTCTATTTTAACATTAAATTATCAACTCACGTTAACATCTCAACAATTCACAGTGTCGTGAAAGACTATGTAAAAGTGCTTACTGCTTATTGTCTAATCATTGTACAGTACTGTGAAATATGCTTGCTCCTTATAAATGGTAAGAACCATATGGGGAAATGATCTCTCAGCAAAACCTTATATTATACCATGGTAGCTGGAAATTTTTCAGTTGCTCCATTATTTTAGTAAATTATATATAATCACCCAGTCCTAGCATTCTCATTCCGCTTAATGGGAGAGTTACGCATGTGTTTATGAGATATGTAAGTTTAAGCTCTCCCGCTCCTCTTATCTAGTAGAAACCTTGAGTCTTTGCAGAGGGCTATTGACTCCTTCCTAATAAGAGGCATTGATTAGCCAGTAATATGTGATTTACTAAATCAGCAGGGGAGTTGGGTCTCATTATGCAGCTCAACTGGCCCAAATTGTCACGTTGCATGCGCAGTCGAGAGAGGAGTTGGGTTTATCTGGAATGTAGGATGATGGGCTCTGGCCTACCTCTCCTGGGAGGAGAAGTGGAAGGCAGCCCCTGAAGGATCAGTCTGCGTAGTGTCCCAAGAACAGATGCATAAAAGCCTGTTCCAAATTACAACATATCAGTAGTACTCCTACCAACTGTTGTTGGAGGGGCTGAAGGTACTGATGAACGTACCTCCATGTGGTTGGGGTGCCCCCAAAATGTCATATTGGGGGAGGTTGGGAGCCTAATTTTCCATAGACCTATTCCCCTTTAGGAGTAGGGGGGCCTTTCTGGCATATTATGTCCTATTTGACACTATACAGAATGTCCCCCCACTGGATGTGGAGTATAACCTGCAAAATAAAAGATTTTCTTACCTGGAATCCAGCGTTGCGTAACTGGACACCAGTTATGTTGCAAATAACCATGGAGTCTCAAATTAAAACTTTCAAATTAAAGCCTAGGTTTCTGATTCAATGCATTTGTTTGTGATGCATGAGTAAAAACTATGATATTTTATGCATAAATGCACTAATAAATCAAGACATAAATATACTGCTCATCAGTCAATGTTGATATGTTTATTGACTGCATATAGTATTCCATTATCTACAATACATATATGAATGGCTGTTTTAAAAGGCATTCTCCAGGTTCTTAAGATTCAAAATAGTCAGGGGACACCTCATTCTATGTAGAATAGTAGAAAATAGAATTATTACATGTTTTTTGTATGATACTTATTTCCACACTCTCCACTCTGACACGTAAAATACGAGGAGACATTTTTCTACTTCTGACACAGAATTGTAAACTGGTGCATTGAATCCACAATACATACAACTACTCTGCTACTCTTTAACATACCTCTTTGGAAACTTTTAATAAAAGAGTCATGTCCTTCCAAATATTGTCCCAATGTTTTCCAGACTTTAGTTTCTCTCTTCTGCAGCACCAGTTCAATCTTCCCAGCTTTTGCACTGACACAAACTAGAAAGTAAGCACAATATAATGAATTTGTAAACAGTTACAAATTTGCTTCAGTAAAATACAAATTTTGACAATTGAAGCCAATGTGGATCCAGTGCAGAGAGACTGACATTGATCTAAAATCAACAAAAATTTCATAGCATAACTCAATCCAACATAATTACAAGATTCAGGGAAAACTAATTAAATGTGGAGGTCAGCTTTCCTCTCCATTACTTACTCTGACCAGATTTACTGGCTGATTTGCTCACAGTTTATACTATACACAGAGGTTTCAAATGGGATGAAATACAAATACTTAAACAATGGAATCATAGCACGAAACATCTGGTTCAATCTTCTTTGATATTTTAAATCACATTCAGAATACAGGAATCTGCCAATAGAATGCATTTTGTTATCTTTAAGAAAGCAAAGTATTATTGATGGGAGTAATGCTATCTTGCGACATCTATTATTACTAGAACACCCATAGATACAAATCTTAAGGAGAAATCTTAAGGAGAAATCTTAAGGAGAAAGTTCTAACCCTGTAATTATTTAATGGACACATAAACAAAGAGAGATGGTGAACTTGAACCACCTTACTAGTACCCTAAAGATTTCATATCTGTTAGATACCAAAGACAAACGGCAAGTGCTTTAAGAAAAATTAGCCTACTTATATAAACAAGTGCATATTTTTTAAAGTGAGTCTATAAGCTATACAATCTCTTATATATATTTTAAAACTTAGAGGAAAAAAAGCCTCCCCCCCGCTATATAAGGATAAAACTCACTTTTTATTCAGCCCCATCAATGTCTCGCTGCCACAGTTGCTCAGCCAGTTGTAACACCATCATAGAGATGCAGTATCCCAAAGCTGTGGGACTAATTTTCAGTGTCACCATGTTGATTATAGGAACAGGGTATATGCAGCAAAACCACTACATTAGGATGTAGTGAGTTTTGGTGCTACCAGTGACCCTTTAATGAAATGTTCATTAACTACTTACCTTCTCTCCAGTTTGTCAGTGGTGCCATGATCTACTTTCCATGGTTAGTTTACTAATGTAACAACCATCCTACCCTCTCGCCTTCATCCCACCACCAAAAAGGGAATTACTCAAGCAGGAAGTCAGGATTCCTGGAACCTGACCACACAGACAGATCCACTAAAGGAATACGTCCATAATACCGGTCCTTAGAATGGCCAGGTTAAACGAACAAACACAGAGATCAAAGGATATGATTAAACAAGCCGAGGTCAATGGATAACAGAGGACAGGATAAACGTAGACAAGAACCAGAACACAATACCAAGAAACACAAGAGGAACGAGCTATTGGGCTAACATGAGCTTATGCGTGTAGCTGGCACAGATCGACCACGTCCTCTCCCTGCAACAGGAGCTCCACCAACACCAGCAGCGCCGCGACCAGGGCCACGTCTCCTTTTGACGCTCTGCTCATTCTTTGCGTTCACCCACTAAACTAACAGATGGTTTATGTCAGGTGACAATGTAACCACCAATAGTCAACAATTAAGTTCACTGACAGTAAGGCAGTGCCAGTGTCCTAAAGAGAAAACATTTCTAGAGGTCACACAACAGTGTGACAGGCGTAATTAATACAGTTACTTCACTGTCTCAAAAAAGTGTGATTTTTTTTTTAAACCAACAATGTAACAGTAGTATTTAAGGGTTTTATTAGACTGCACGAAATGCACCGCAGGCCGCAAATGTTCTATTTAGCACAAAAAAAGTGTGATTTTTTTTAAACCAACAATGTAAGAGTAGTATTTAAGGGTAGTGATGTCCCGAACGGTTCACCACGGACTCATCATTGAGTAAACTTTGACCCTGTACCTCACAGTCAGCAGACACATTCCAGCCAATCAGCAGCAGACCCTCCCTCCCAGACCCTCCCACCTCCTGGACAGCTCACTAAGAATGCAGCTTCACAATGAATGTAAAATGTATGCTATCCAGGAGGTGAGAGGGTCTGGGAGGGAGGGTCTGCTGCTGATTGGCTGGAATGTGTCTGCTGATTGCGAGGTACAGGGTCAACGTTTACTCAATGATGAGTCCGTGGCGAACCGTTCACGGCGAACCGTTCGGGACATCACTATTTAAGGGTTTTATTGGACTGCAAAAAATGCACCACAGGCCGCAAATGTTCTTTTTAGCACAAAAAAAAGTGTGATTTTTTTAAACCAACAATGTAAGAGTAGTATTTAAGGGTTTTATTGGACTGCAAGAAATGCACCGCAGGCCGCAAATGTACTATTTAGCACCAAAAAAATGTGAATTCTTCAAAGTGCGATGTAACCACAGTATGTGACGCTTCTATTTGACTCTCAGATATGAAGTGCAAGCCCCAAATTGACTTTTTAGCACCCAAAAAATTTAAATTGGTCAAACTGCGATGCAACCACAGTATTTGACGGTTCTATTTGACTCTCAGATATGAAGTGCAAGCCCCAAATTTACTTTTTAGCACCAAAATAATTTGAATTTTTCAAAGTGCGATGTAACCACAGTATTTGACGGTTCTATTTGACTCTCAGATATGAAGTGCACGCCCCAAATTTACTTTTTAGCACCAGAAAAATGTGAATTTGTCAAACTGCAATGTCACAGCAGTATTTAAAAATGCCTAGATGTTGCCCACTGAGCTACCAGAACAGGATTAAAGTAATGTGCCTGGCACACATGCAATTGCAAGTGCCCACCTAACAAACAGACTGATTGCTTATTTCTCTGTGGCACTGGGCTCAGGGCAGGGTACAAAAATTTAGTATAGCACCCACAAAAATAATTGCTGTAGTTTGCAGATTCAACACCAGAACACCTTTCTTAATCTGTCCCTCACAGCTGCAGCATCCTCTCCCTACACTAATAAGAGCTCATGTGACTCCAGCTTATATAGAGGCTGGGTCACATGCTGCACTGGCCAATCACAGCCATTAGTAGGCATGGCTGTGATGGCTTCTAAGAGCACACAAGTCAAACGCTTGTTGATTGGCTGCCCTGCAGCTTTTCAAAACGCGCCATTAAATCACCGAACTCGAACCCGAACTGTTCCTAAAATGTCCGGGTTCTGGTTCGGAGTCCAAAAATCGTAATGTTCAGTACGAACGCAAACTTTACAGTTCGGGTTCGCTCAACTCTACTTAAGAGTACTCCATGGTTGTTTGTTAATATATTTATAACTCTGACCTTCCTGCATTGTCAAATTATTTTTCTGACTCCATTTTAGAACTGCTTTTTCCTCAGTATTTAATAGCCCGTAGCCTTTAAGAGCTTTTTTACCAAACAACCATTATTTTAGGACAACTCTGATCTACTTGTATATTGTACCTGCTAATTAGGACCCAGTCCTATGTTTAGTGGTGCTTCAGTTAAAGACAGAGTCTACTAATTTAAGTTCATTCCTCTTTCTCTCAAGACTCTGAGACTCTAGCAACCATTTGCTAGAAACAGCAGATGAAGTCCAGAATAGCTTGAACACACTGTATTTTTTTAATATGTAAGATTCTATTTATTAAACTTTTTAGTTTTTTTTGCTGCTGTAGCAGCATATTCCAAGTATCGTTAACTTAATACATTTTACATATCTTATAATGAAACTGAATAAAAGCATTTATTTAAAAAAAATAATAATTTAAATCAAACAATCACGCTAGATGCACAATAAATCCGTGCAAATGTATAAATTTTATTTTTCATACCTCACAAAAGTTTATGACATATACGGGTTAAGGAAATACAATATTAAAAATCTTGGCAAGTGACATTTGCTTTAATCTCACACAAGAGTGGGACATCGTTGTGTACCCAAAATTGGTGACATTTGCTCTGCCAGGAGCAGCTTTAAAACAGACCTCTCTTGTACTGCATGTTGGAAGGAGAGCTGAGAAGGATGTAAAAGTGTAATTTAGTGTTCTCGCATGTCATTATCAGGTGAGGGACTGTATTGTAACCTCAACAAAATGAAGCTGCTACCCAGGAGTGTAAGTCCCACAAATCTATGGTAGACTGTGATATGTGCTCTAAAACATAACAAAATCCTTAACCTAGCCCAATCTCTTAAAACAATTATGCAATAGAAAATACACATAACATTTAAGTATGTAAGTATGTATTAAGGGAAAATTACGCCATTTCTGTGTTTTGGAGACATTCATTAACCAGAAAAAAAGCACAGCTAAGTAAAGCACAGCTACAAGATGGCAGTTCTACCATAACATGAACTGGATTTTTAAAGGAACACGCCAGCAACCATAATCTATACAGCATGCGGAGGTGATTTTAGTTCTAGGAATTCCATAAATCCCCATGCCATTCAAGTAATCAAACAGTTTTAGAGCAGTTTGACTCCATGCCACTCCTCTTCTGCTCCAAGTGTCAGAAGCTCGTGCTTAGAGCTTTTGTTACCTCTCCTGGGCCAATCTTACCTGCTAAGTGAGTAAAAGCGAATTACTCTCAAGCTGCCAGGCTTAGCTCAGACAGAGAGCTTCCAGCTCTCATTGAGGTGGTGAGCATGCCCAGCAGTCATCAGATAAGTCAAATCTTTTAAAACTCCTTGACTACTTACATCAAAGTGTGCCAGGACACATCTGGTACTACAGGGAGTGCAGAATTATTAAGCAAATGAGTATTTTGACCACATCATCCTCTTTATGCATGTTGTCTTACTCTAAGCTGTATAGGCTCGAAAGCCTACCACCAATTAAGCATATTAGGTGATGTGCATCTCTGTAATGAGAAGGGGTGTGGTCTAATGACATCAACACCCTATATCAGGTGTGCATAATTATTAGGCAACTTCCTTTCCTTTGGCAAAATGGGTCAAAAGAAGGACTTGACAGGCTCAGAAAAGTCAAAAATAGTGAGATATCTTGCAGAGGGATGCAGCACTCTTAAAATTGCAAAGCTTCTGAAGCGTGATCATCGAACAATCAAGCGTTTCATTCAAAATAGTCAACAGGGTCGCAAGAAGCGTGTGGAAAAACCAAGGCGCAAAATAACTGCCCATGAACTGAGAAAAGTCAAGCGTGCAGCTGCCACGATGCCACTTGCCACCAGTTTGGCCATATTTCAGAGCTGCAACATCACTGGAGTGCCCAAAAGCACAAGGTGTGCAATACTCAGAGACATGGCCAAGGTAAGAAAGGCTGAAAGACGACCACCACTGAACAAGACACACAAGCTGAAACGTCAAGACTGGGCCAAGAAATATCTCAAGACTGATTTTTTTAAGGTTTTATGGACTGATGAAATGAGTGAGTCTTGATGGGCCAGATGGATGGGCCCGTGGCTGGATTGGTAAAGGGCAGAGAGCTCCAGTCCGACTCAGACGCCAGCAAAGTGGAGGTGGAGTACTGGTTTGGTATCATCAAAGATGAGCTTGTGGGGCCTTTTCGGGTTGAGGATGGAGTCAAGCTCAACTCCCAGTCCTACTGCCAGTTCCTGGAAGACACCTTCTTCAAGCAGTGGTACAGGAAGAAGTCTGCATCTTCAAGAAAAACATGATTTTCATGCAGGACAATGCTCCATCACACGCGTCCAAGTACTCCACAGCGTGGCTGGCAAGAAAGGGTATAAAAGAAGGAAATCTAATGACATGGCCTCCTTGTTCACCTGATCTGAACCCCATTGAGAACCTGTGGTCCATCAAATGTGAGATTTACAAGGAGGGAAAACAGTACACCTCTCTGAACAGTGTCTGGGAGGCTGTGGTTGCTGCTGCATGCAATGTTGATGGTGAACAGATCAAAACAGTGACAGAATCCATGGATGGCAGGCTTTTGAGTGTCCTTGCAAAGAAAGGTGGCTATATTGGTCACTGATTTGTTTTTGTTTTGTTTTTGAATGTCAGAAATGTATATTTGTGAATGTTGAGATGTTATATTGGTTTCACTGGTAATAATAAATAATTGAAATGGGTATATATTTGTTTTTGTTAAGTTGCCTAATAATTATGCACAGTAATAGTCACCTGCACACACAGATATCCCCCTAACATAGCTAAAACTAAAAACAAACTAAAAACTACTTCAAAAAATATTCAGCTTTGATATTAATGAGTTTTTTGGGTTCATTGAGAACATGGTTGTTGTTCAATAATAAAATTAATCCTCAAAAATACAACTTGCCTAATAATTCTGCACTCCCTGTATAAACACTGCAGTGTGCTGTAGAGATATGGTGCTTGGAGTGTTCATTTAAGAGTTTGCAGCATAGGATCGCCCACTGTAATGACACTGAACAGCAATGAGTTAGATTTATTGTTTTTAGGGAAGTCAAGAAAGGTGAGCCTTGATCCATATGAGTAACTTTATTTCATCATACAATGGCTACGAGCAACTGGGCCAGGGCAGTCAATATCTTTTTGAGAAGACAAAAACAAAAACAAAGACATGCAATGTTTTCCCCAATTGCTCCTTTTTGCTTTGCATGAGATACCTTCAGTGTTTTGTTTGGCATTATTTTACCTTAACACATAGTTCACCATATTGTAACCATAATATACACCTTCACTCACAATTTGTACATGAGTTATATGCAATCAGTCCAAAAGATATGATAAGGTAACAATGTGTCAAAACATTAGGTGTCTACACTATAAACCTAATAGTACAGCTACAGCTAAAGAATTATGGATGCTTTGGATTGATCAAAACAATATAAATCTTATTGATAGCAATACGTTTCCTTACCATCAATTTTCTTCTGTATTTCATGGTTCAACTCTAGAAAGAAAAACATAAAAAAGGTTAAAAAAAATAAAAAAAAAAAACGACAACACTCCATCTTGCAATCAGTAGTTCTTTATTCTGCTTAATTTAGTTCAATGTGGAACACAGGTGACAATTACTTTTACACTTTGTAAGACTTGTTTACAATAATGGATAGTTAGCAACATGTTTTACATCAAAGTGACATTTTATTTCTTTTAATTTAACTGACAGGAGATATAGAAGTCTGATTTCTATTATTTTTCTTATTAATATATTCTTGTCACAGAATTACCCAGGAAATTAT